CGTTTGGTGAAAGTATTATGGAGAAATCTTTCAGTGGAAGAAACTACTTGGGAGATAGAGGATCAGATGAGAGAGACGTATCCACGTTGGTTTTATGATTATTAGTGGATGTAATTGTTATGTATAATTTCGAGGACGAAATTTTATAAGGTGGGGAAATTATGACAGCCCGTCCCGAAGATATGTATTATTTTATTATCAAGGACGTGAATTTACTATTTTACCCTCGGTTATGAGCGTTGTGGTGTGTTATGTATGTAAGTGTTGAAATGGATGGCACAGATGGAAAGGAAAGAAAATAAAAAGAAGAAGGGAGGTCACGTGTATGTGTGTGTGGTTGGTGGAAGAAAAAGAAGAAAAAGAGATTGGGCAAAGCTGCCCAACCAGAAAAAGAGAGCAGGAGCTCCGGGAGAGAAAGGAGAGAGAGTTGGGCGAATAGAGAGAATAGAGAGAAAAGCCCAGCCAATCAGAACAGGGAAATGAGGAAAGGAGGGAGAGAGTGGCGTGGGGGATTGATGCGATGAGAGTTAAGCACTCAAATTAAACCCTCTTGTTGTCAAATTGTAGTATAAATGCAAGTAGGGATCGTTCTAAACCGGGGATTAAGAGGGCTTGCTAAAACCTCTAAACTAACTCAAAAACATAAAAACAAAGTTAAAAATGTTTGAATAGACTTGAAGGACTCAAAATAGGTTCACAAGACTCAAAACAACTTAAAAACACTCAAAACTGCCTAAAAACACTTACTGGGCAGATTTGACTCTAACACAACTTTGGATGAATTTAGTGTTTTGGTTTGACTCAAAACACTCTAAAACATAAACAAAACAGATTTTAAACACTTTGAAACAAGAAAGTAAAAGGGGGATTTTAGTTTTGATGAATTTGAAACAAACAAACAAGTTATAAAACTAGGCAGATTGTAAAACGAATTTAAGAAATAAGATGATGGATGGATTAGTTAGAGGTTCGTACTTCACACATGACACACTTGTACATGAATCGATTTCCAATTGCTTTTCAATAAACTATGATACTCAACACCCCAGATTAACCGTGATGCACAAATTAACCCTCAGATTTTCCTTTACTCATTGAATTGGATAAATGCATGCGACAACCCAAATCATTCTCTAAAAGTCCCCTATATGAATGAATAATAGAGATACAATCAGAGATCATTACGCTTAGTGAAAATCATAAGTGTTGACGAGGCAATTGTAACTATGAATGCATGATACATTTGCCAATAATTCAATTAACGCGATTGTGACAAGCAACCTTCACTACTCATGAATATAAACTTGTAACAATTAGGTGAAACTCATTTATATTCTAGCATCTAATTCATGCATGAAAACTAAGTATGCATCCTTAATAAACATACAAGAATCAATTATGAAGAAAATAGATAATTGAATTGCAATCACAACTTCATCAAATCACAATTGGAAGAAATCAATTCATATCTTAAGCATGTTCATGGCTTCAAACTTCCCCCTAACTAAATAGGGGTTTAGCCACTCATAATTGCAACAAAATTAGAAAATAACAAAGTAGACATTGAAAGCAAAGGAATGAAAACACCTAAAAACGCTCCAACAATCCAACTTGAATGGCAAGCACATCCAAGGGTCCTCTTTCTTCTCTTTGTTGCGGCACAAGGTGTGGTTTGATGAATGGATGGTCTCTTGTGGTGGTGGATGGATATAGATGAGTTATGGTGAAGGGTGGAGAGTTGTGTAGATGATGTGGTGTCTTTGGATGATGGCCCCCCAAATTATGGTGAAGGGTGGATGTATTTATAGGCTAGGGAGAGGAGTGTATGGAGTTGTAATGAGTGGATGTAATGGGTGTAGTGGGTGGATGTTTGGTAATGAGTGGATGTAATGGGTGTAGTGGGTTGTGGTAATGAGTGGATGTAATGGGTGTAGTGGGTGGATGTTTGGAGAATGGATGTGTTGGGTGAAATGAGTGGAGGTAGTGGTAGGTGGTGAATGTGTTGGGTGAAATGAGTGTGCTAAAATGGTTATTTATAGGGAGAGGATGATGCACAAACTTCAAATTTCATCCATTCCTTTTGCTCCAAGCATATGCCATCCATTCCATGCCCAAAAATGCTCCAAAATGCTCCAAAATGCACTTCTTTGCCACATTAACCCTTTGGACCTACAAACACACAAAAATAGCTTAAAATACTAAAATAACTACGAACTAACAACATAAATGCCAAGAAACAAGCTAACTAAGTCGCATAAATATGCTCCTATCAGGGATCGGCCGGATCCCTTTGGCCCGTTCTTGACCCGGTCGGCACCTATGCCTATTTTCGATGATTTTCACCAATTTTTCCGGTGAATTGCTTCAAGAAACCTCATGGGAAACACTCTAGGACCCTTCCTCTATCCATTCCATCTCAAAATTGGAGAGTTTTGGCTTTGAAAATAGAGAAAACCGCAAGAAAGGGGTGCGGCGGCTTTGGCTTCGAATCACCCAATCCCGAAGCAATTCCTTCCAATTGTCACCACCCATAACATCCTCTTGAGACCCAGAACAAAGCCTAAGCATTAGTTGGAGCATCGGAGTGGTTTTGGAGGTCGAATTGAAAACACCAATTTCTAGGGTTCTTCACGGGTTTGATGAAATTGGAGCCTTTCCAGGCCAAATTGGCCTTGGCCATAGGTATAAAGTTTACCCTACTCATTGAGATCTTCATTTCTGTAAATTTTGCTAATTTGGAAATAGTTGGAATTTCCTGCTAGCCAGGGCGGCCGACCGCCACCCACGGCGGCGCGTGCGGCGGCATGTGGCCAGTGGGCCGCCAATGTTATTTTTAAGCTATATTTGATGTCCTGAGTTCATTTTTGATAGTGGCTTAACATTGGTTGATCATTTGGACTTAATTTTGATACGATTCATGGTTAGGCCAAAAGGTGAATCGACGATCCAACCGTCGGATCGGCACCAAACTCTGATACGTAGTAGTACGTAATATTTGAAGAATTTAGGAACTTACGGATCTGGAATTCGATGGAGGATCTTCTCGAATTGGATTTGTAAGTTCATAAAATAAAATGTTAACCGCCACTTAGTTTTGGAAATTGGCGGAGATCCAACCGTTGGATCATAGCGAAATTTTAGTATGTTGTTCTAGAAGCTTAATGTGTATCTTGGGAAGTGACGGATCAGAAATCTAAGTTGTGGATCTTCCAGATTGAGTTATTTGGGGTTATGACCCTATCGTCGAACTTAGTCAACAGTTGACCTTTGATCAACGGGTCTCGCATTATTCTTGAATGCCCTTGAGGATATGTGTTATGTGAATTACATATTCTATGGATAAGAGTTCTGAGATGTGGTTTGATAACTGTTTTAGGTACCGAGCGTTCGAGACGCCTTAGTTCTGATGTTAAGGAGTTGTAGCGCGGACCCCAAGTGAGTGGGCAGTTATTTTCAGTATATATATATACTTGACGTTTTTCCCAGAAAACGTATTTAAAGGAAATGCAATTTAAATGCCATGCATGTACAATTATGTTTCGTGCATGAATTGATGTGTGATACCTTATATATATAAATATGGTGCTGTGGAGGTACAGGTAAGTTCAAGTAAGTTGTGTTTGGTTATGTAAATCATCGATGATGCGATGTGTGATTGAATAATGTTGAGCTCATAAAATTGCACCTAAGGTGATTGATTTAGCCAAAGATATGATACATGCCTGTTTGTTATGTCACCCCCACACTGTATGCTCATATTGGATCCAATTTAAGTGCACAACTTTGTCGTACAAACCTTATTTATGGTTCCGACTCGTAGGTGACTAGTGATTTATTGCCCGGCTATTATGAGAGAGTAGAATTGAGCATAATTATATTACACCCAATCTTGTCGTACAAACCCCTCTTTAGTGGTTTCGACTTATGTGCAGTTTATTGCCTTATAGGTCATTGTAGTGACTCCGGCTAGGTTTGACTATTGAGCTATAAATTCAGCCATATAGACCACCACAGCGGTTCTGGCTAACATATCATATTTCTATGAAATTATTCTTACCTGAATTATTTACTTTGTTATATCTTGGCATGGCATGCATAAGTTTATGATTATGTGAAGCATGAAATGATATGATACAAGTTCACATATATATATATATATATATTTATGTATATGCTTATATCTATTTTCTGGGAAAGTAACCATATACTTGTTTTACGGCGAGGGGTTAGTATATTCAAAGGAAAATAAGGTTTTCGTATAAATGTGTTTTATTGACCCATTCAACTTTATTTTTCGCCCCTCCAGGTCTTAGATAGCTGAGTTTGGTGGCCACAAGGACTCCAACGGTGTTTCGACAGAATCCGAAAAAGTAGGATTCATCTTCGGGTGTTGTATTTTAATAATCATCCTACTCGACTGCAACTAGACGCTCTTATTGCTCTGAAAGTGTATTTATACACTGAAACTCTCACTGGAATCCTTTCTTAATTTGGATTGTTAGTTAATAGGTTTTAAATTGTTAGTATTCCTCTTACTCTTTATCGCTTCCGCTTTGCGCTCATGGCTACGTCACTGTCACGCGACGGCCAACACGTCTCGACTCCGGTCGGGGTGTGTCAGTATTCCTCTTCACTTGTAAGTGAGAGGTTTTAGGTTCAATTCTCGCCAAATGCGAATATGAACCACATTATTGTTAGCCCATTGTGAGGCTTAGCACACTTTTCAACTCTTTTCGTGTAGATAATATCTTTTGTGAAAAAATTCATAAAAAATTTTAAAAATTTGTAAGACTATAATAGTGGATGAAACTATGTTTAGCTCTTTTGGTAGTTTTGAGCCTAGGCTAAGGCCGTCAGTTTCCGAACCAAAGCTTCTAAAACCGGATAGATGGGCTTAAGCGGACGGGCCTAGTTCTGAAGAAAAATACGGGATTCATTTTCGGGGGTCATAGGTTCACGGCCCAAACCTCCCAATACAAACAATTCCCAGAAAAATCAAATCACAAAAGCCGAAAAGAATTGAGTAAAAAAGTGGTGATTGAGAAAGAGGGATAGGTGATCAGCATATTGTTGAATCCTATCTATAAAATTTTGCAGCATTTCAACTGACTTCTCCCTGAGAATGGCCACAAAATGGCAGATATTTACAGGATTGAGCATGGCGTCGACGCCTGCCTCTTCTTTCCAAGCTTCTTCTTCGAGCTCTAGCGGCCTCTGCATGGTCAGAAAACCTCTCACGACTTCCTTCTTCAATGGCGGAGGTATGTGCCTTTTGCTTTACTGAAGCTTTCAGTTAACGGGTATTTTACAGATTTTTCAATTGGGGTCCAATATCTGCCTCTTGGGTCTTGCTTGTTATTCTGTGTTTGCGTCTGGTTTGTCAACTTGTTTATTGGTTGGTTGGCAAATGCAAAATCCAAGTAGTTTGTGTTGAGCTTAGTATTGTGGGTTTTCTTTGCTTCCGAGGCTGGCTTTTGAGTGGGCAATGGGGCATATTTCATGGGTAATTGAGTGTGTGCCTTCAAATGTTTCATCTTGTAGTGGGGAAATAGGGAAGAGAATTAGAATTTGAGAGGACAATTGGGTTTGGAATTTTCTTTGGGCCGGTTTGGAAGTTCTTTTAGAGTAGCTGCCAGCGTTTTCCTGACAACCAAAAGCGGTTCTGACAATGTGCGGCAGAGAAAAGCACTTGGAAGGGGTGCTTTTTCAGAAGATTTTTTTTTTTTTTTTTTTTCTGGAAGCACTTAATTTGATTATATATTTTGACCTACATCTAATCGAAGGTTTTATGAAAATAAGTGCTTTCTAGAGAAGCATTTCCAATCGGGCCCTTTGTATATTTGGCTTCCACATCTTTATATAGTTTGTTCGTTTCATTAAGTGTCAATTGCTACTTCATTTAATCTCATCCCGTATTCCTTCCGTTGGGAAATCATTGCTTGCACTGTTTAGTAATTTCTGATTGAAAAAAGAGCTGGTGAGAAATTCTCAGTTGAGACTAATGCTAGAACAATATAAGCATGACATAGATATTCTTGCTCCATCTCAGTTTCTCGTCAAGTCTACAACGCATGGGATTTGATGACAACATGAAGTAGCTGATCCTGATAACAAAATACAAGCATGCCTGTGTTTGTGGGCTTCTTTCATAGTAAAATAAATATCTTACTAGCAACACTACCATCATGGAAACATCTGAAAAGTAGGTGAGTTTAACAAGATATCTCCAAAAGTTAGGAACTGACCTTTATTCACTAGGGATTAGTTTAAATGGGAGCTGTGCTGGCGCTCCACAAAAACCTTCCTACATTTTTCTGTAGTAAAAAAGATGAGGATGGGAGAAGTGCAAAAAGACTATTTCCAAGTGCTAATAATAGTTCCCAAAAATAAATGTAAAATGGATATATTTTTAATTGATGGTCAAGCTGAAAGAACGTGTATGTAACTCAGAAGAGTGTAGAAACTACTCCTTTTATCGTCGAATCAGGAAGGAAGAAGTGGTTGTAGCTTTGAAGAAGATGAAGCATAGAAAAGCAGTGGGCACAGACGATATACCGATCGAAGTGTGGAAAGTCTTGGGAGAGACAGGTATAGCATGGCTCACTGACCTTTTCAATAGGATTTGAAAACGAAGAAGATGCCAAATGAGTGGCGAAAGAGCACATTGGTGCCTATCTACAAGAATAAGGGCGACGTACAAAATTGCTTGAACTATAGGGGTATTAAGCTAATGAGTCATACAATGAAGCTCTGGGAGAGAGTCATTGAGCATAGATTGAGGCAAGAGACACGGGTTTCGGACAACCAATTCGGGTTCATGCCAGGGCGCTCAACCATGGAGGCAATCTATCTTTTACGAAGATTGATGGAAAGATATAGAGATGGGAAAAAGGATTTACACATGGTCTTTATAGATTTGGAAAAAGCGTATGATAGGGTCCCAAGAGACATTCTTTGGAGGATTTTAGATAAGAAAGGAGTACGAGTAACATATATCCAAGCTATAAAGGATATGTATGAAGGAGCAAAGACTGCCGTAAGAACTCATGAAGGACAAACCGAAAGCTTCCCCATAACTGTAGAATTACATCAAGGCTCATCCTTAAGTCCTCACCTTTTTGCGTTGGTAATGGATGAGTTAACAGGACATATTCAAGATGATATTCCTTGGTGTATGCTTTTCGCAGACGATATAGTGTTGATAGATGAAACTCAGGAAGGGGTAAATGCGAAGCTTAACCTTTGGAGAGAAGTGTTGGAATCTAAAGGTCTTCGCCTAAGCCGATCAAAGACAGAATATATGGAGTGCAAGTTCAATGCAAATGGAGGCCAAAATGAGTTAGGGGTGAGGATCGGAGATCAGGAAATACCAAAGAGCGATCGTTTTCGCTACTTAGGATCTATCTTGCAAAAGAACGGAGAATTAGATGGAGATCTCAACCATAGAATACAAGCTGGATGGATGAAGTGGAAGAGTGCATCCGGCGTGTTGTGTGTCGGCCGTATGCCATTGAAGCTCAAGGGAAAATTTTATATGACGGCAATAAGGTCGGCGATGCTGTATGGCACAGAATGTTGGGCTGTGAAGCATAAACACGTACACAAAATGGGCGGAGATGAGGATGCTTCGTTGGATGTGTGGGCACACGAGAAAGGATAAGATTAGGAATGAGGATATCCGAGGTAAAGTAGGAGTAGCCGAAATTGTAGGAAAATTGAGAGAAAATCGGTTACGGTGGTTTGGACATGTGCAAAGAAGGCCTACTGACGCTCCGGTTAGAAGATACGACTACGGGACAGAGGTTCAGGGTTGAAGGGCTAGAGGAAGGCCTAGGAAAACTTTGGAAGAGACTCTAAGAAAAGACTTGGAGTATTTGGATCTAACGGAGGACATGACACAGGACCGAGCACAATGGCGTTCTAAGATTCATATAGCTGACCCCACTCAGTGAAGAAGACTTTGGTGTATTTAACACAATACGTTGAAATGAAGCAAAGCTTATTTATTAATATCTCCGATAAGTTACAAATATGTACATATACATGAGTCAAAATAAACAAACAAGAGGGAGCCTTCACAAAGGTTGCTTAGGAGAAGTCTCAGCAGTCGGTAGAGCCCCAGAAAGAGAAGGCACCGGAGGGGGATCATTCGGAGCCTCAGTACTGGACAGAACCCTAGAAGGAGGAGGCATCGGAGGTTGATCATTTGGAGCTTCATTACGCGGTACAGCCCCAGAAGACAAAGGCAATAAATGCCTTTGGAACAAACCCACAAACCGCTGATGATCAAGTAAAACCTGACCATCAGATTCCTTCATCTGGTCAAGCTTTCTCTTCATGTTTGTAGCATAGTCATGTGCGAGCCGGTGCAACTGTTTATTCTCATGCTTGAGCCCTCTAATCTCCTGTTTGAGACTCATTACTTCAGCCGCCAATGATTCAACTTGGCGGGTTCGAGCAAATAGGCGTTGGGCCATATTAGACACAGAACCTGCACACTGAACACTTAGAGAGCTAGAGAATCCTTAACAGCCAACTCATTAGACCGTTTGGAAAGTAGTCTGTTATCTTTGGGAGTGAGAAGGTTCCTGGCCACCACCGCAACAGTCATATCATTCTTCATCACGGAATCCCCAACGGTAAGAGGACCAGTAGGGGATGAGAAGGATGGGCGCCATATGTTATCTGGAGAAGGCGTGGCTGCCTCTTCAACAAGGTTCAAGTCAAAACGACGGTCGGAGGGGCCAGACATTTTCAAAGGTGTTGAAGAGAGAAAAGGTCGGACAAATCAAGATCTTAGAAGTGCAAGAAGGGAGCTTCTACTGGTGAAGATTCAAGTGTGCTTTGGAACTTAATGCCAGCCTCTATAAAAATCTGCACTCGACGGAGCTTCAGAAATCGAAGAGGCGCCTGCCCAGAAATCGAAGAGGCGTTTGCTTTCTCAAAAGCTGGGCTGCTCAGAGACCACGAGGGTCGATCTCAGAAATCGAAAAGGCGTTTGCTTTCTCAAAAGCTGGGCTGCTCAAAGACCGCGAAGGCAGATCTCAGAAATCGAAGAGGCGCTTGCTTTCTCAAAGGCTAGGCTGCTCAGAGACCACGAGGGCCGATCTCAGAAATCAAAGAGGCACCTGCTTTTCTCAGCCTTGTCAGCACCTGTCACATGCACACTCAGCTTTGCTGAAATTACGGGCATTCTGTTGAAGATTTCTGGTGAAGTAGAAAGAACGTGAATCTTACTGTTCAATCATCCACTTTCCACACGCACCATCAGCTCATGGGTACCACAGATAATTTTGCCAAAGATCTCTGACAAAGTTTAGACACATGAAGCTTTCAGCTCCCACTACATCGCTATGACCAAGAAGGGTAAAAGAATAGCAAAGAAATAGCACTAACAAAGTTTAGACACATAAATTTTGAAGGTCTAGCTACCATATTATTACCCACAAGGGTAAAGGAACAGCATCACTGCTGGATAATTGGAAAGTCCCTATGTGTCAACCTCTGTGCTCCGTGGCAATGTAGACTAGCAAACATGGCCAACCTTTACTCACATTCGAGAAAACACTCCCAACAAGATTGCTTGCTCCTAAATCGAAGAGGCACCGTCTTCCGAATCTCGAGAGCCAGACTCCCAACATGATTACTTTCTCAAAAATCGAAGAGACACCGCTCTCCGAATCTCGAGAGCCAGACTCCCAGCATGATTGCTCTCTCAAAAATCGAAGAGGCACCGTTCTCCGAATCTCGAGAGCCAGATCCCTGACATGAATGCTTGTTTGAAAACCGAAGAAGCACCGCTTTCTCAACTTCGAGAGCCAGATCTCCTTGGATAAAGCTTGTCTGTAATCTTCACACGCAACATCAGCTTTCTAGATACCACAGACCGCTTTTTCAAAGTGCTCTGACACACGAAAGCTGGCAGCTCCCACTATCGTGCTATGACCAAGCAGGGTAAAGGAATAGCATTACTACTTGTTGTTAGGTAAACTCCTATATATGTCGACCTCCATCCTCAACGGACAGGCGGACCTGCAAAAATGCTCAACCCTTCCTCATATCTGAGAGGGCATTCCCAAGGAAGCCTCTCGAAATACTCAGCTTTCTTTCCCCCCGATAATCCCTCTACAAACAAGTTACACCAGAGCAAGAATATCTCATATCATCAGGGTTAAAAGCAAGAGTATCCCATATCATGCTTTTTCCCTGTCTTTTCCTTTGGCCTTGTTCTTACCTGCAAGACAAGGAGAAAGAGAGCAATCAGTCAGCACTTGGAATCAAGCTTCTAGTCAAGAACTGACTGCTTGGAACCCCTTACCTGATTACTTACCTGGCATTGCTCTCGAGTACTTATCTTCAACATCTTATGCTTCCAGAGAAGATACCACATCTGCCTGAGGAACAGATAGGGAAAGTGAGAAGGATACAAGTTAGCATGTGGAGACAAGCGTAACAGAACACGTGCCGATACATCCACTACTTTGTCAACAGCAAAAGTATCCAATATCAGTAGGGTCGACCGTACTCTAGATTTGATGGACTTGTTTTGACCCTCAAATTCTTCAGTCGGCCTTATACTCTGGAGGAAACCAGAAAATCCTCCAGCCCAGTTCAAGAATAAGCCTGTGGAAAGTTACTTCTTCAAAAGCAAAAGTATCTCATATCATCTATTCTCCTTTTCTTCTCTTTATCCTTCATGCTGCCTGCAAGATAGGGAGAATGAGAACAATCAGCTGGAACTCGAAATCAAACTTCTGATATGGGACTGATTGCTTACCTTGTCTGTCGCCTCTTTCAGCAGATCCCCTAGCTCGGCGACTTGGGGGACTCCTACTACATGGTTTGTATAGCGCTTGACCAAGCCTGAAACTACAAGTAAGCTTCAAGTGAAATTGATACATTACCTTGTTCATCTCCACCAGTTAAAGATACCACCCCTGGATGGAGGAAGAGTACTTCCAGAGAAGATGCTACATCTACTTATGAGACAGATAAGGCAAGTGAAGACGAGAGCTTGAACCTATGTCATTTGTACTAAATCATTCACTTGTACTCACTAAAGGAGAGCTTGAACCTATGTATTTGTGTAAATCCTTCACAATTAATGAGAACTCCTCTACTCCGTGGACGTAGCCAATCTGGGTGAACCACGTACATCTTGTGTTTGCTTTCCTGTCTCTATCCATTTACATACTTATCCACACTAATGACCAGAGCAATCTAGCGAAGATCACAAAGTTAATACTTTCTTTTGTACCAAAGTCCTCACTGATTTTGTGCATCAACAATCCTTAAGTCCTTACCTTTTTGCGTTGGTAATGGATGAGTTAACAGGACATATTCAAGATGATATTCCTTGGTGTATGCTTTTCGCAAACGATATAGTGTTGATAGATGAAACTCAGGAAGGGGTAAATGCGAAGCTTAACCTTTGGAGAAAAGTGTTGGAATCTAAAGGTCTTCGCCTAAGCCGATCAAAGACAGAATATATGGAGTGCAAGTTCAGTGCAAATGGAGGCCAAAATGAGTTAGGGGTGAGGATCGGAGATCAGGAAATACCAAAGAGCGACCGTTTTCGCTACCTAGGATCTATCTTGCAAAAGAACGGAGAATTAGATGGAGATCTCAACCATAGAATACAAGCTGGATGGATCAAGTGGAAGAGTGCATCCGGCGTGTTGTGTGACCGTTGTAGGCCACTAAAGCTCAAGGGAAAATTTTATAGGACGGCAATAAGGCCGGCGATGCTGTATGGCACAGAATGTTGGGCGGTGAAGCATCAACACGTACACAAAATGGGTTTGGACATGTGCAAAGAAGGCCTATTGACGCTCCGGTTCGAAGATGTGACTACGGGATAGAGGTTCAGGGCCGAAGGGGTAGAGGAAGATCTAGGAAAACTTTGGAAGAGACCCTAAGAAAAGACTTAGAGTACTTGGATTTAACGGAGGACATGACACAAAACCGAGCGCAATGGCGTTCTAGGCTTTGTTGTTGTTGTTGTATTGAAAAAAATTTCACATTTCAAGTCGAATGAAATTGATTTTAAAGGGTATAACCTTCTATCTCTTCAAAATGGTTATAAGGTACTATGAAATGCATTATGGTGCAGGTCACGTAGCATAAGTAAAGCTATTTACAAAGGCAAACACTACCGCTCCAAATCTGAGTCAAACAAGGTCCTATTTGCCAAGATCTTAATATGTCATTCTAGAAAAAAAATGCCTTTTATCTAATTAAATCTGTTAGCTTGCTTTTGGATATGATTATGTCTCTCTCTACTGTAAACAGCTTGAAGAAGTCTAAGAATAATGCTAGGTTTAGTAAAATTTTACTTTTACTGATCTCAAATTCATTCTTAATCCACAATTTTAGTAACCTAAAAGCAAGTAAAAAAATTATATATTTAGCCATTTAAAAATTTTATTTAAAAAAAAAAACTTACATGCTAAGTGCAGTTGACTAAATTTCTGTTCTCCCATTCAACTTTATTGTTGGATTTGTGCATGTCTGTTGTCATTGAGGATGTGTTTCTCTTGGTGAGTATTGTTTGTTGTGTGCAACAGGATACATTAATTGCGTACTATGACTTAATGATATAAAACGTTACTTATGTATAGAAGTAAAAGGCGGACAACAATTAAGGTCTGTGAGCAATGCATTTTGCACACCCCGTTTTGCAGTTTCACAATAACCTTGAACCCTAATATTTTAGTTTTAGTTTTTGTTCTAGTATCTGTTCAACTTAATTTGCAAATCACCTAAAAATAGGTATTAAATTGCGGCTTACATTTAGATTATTTTCAGTGGAGGCTCTAAAAGTTGAAGTGATTAGGGTTGCTCCTTCCAGTCGACCACATTATTCTAGACAACGTGGAGGGGCTCTTGGTGCTCGTATGAATCTATTTGACCGGTTTGCTAGAGTTGTCAAGGTGATATCTTATGAATGATTACTGTGTTCACATAATAAATAATAATGTGATGGTCTTATTATAACTGATTTTACCTTTTTCTTCTTACATTAATTGTATTATTAGCAGTCATATGCAAATGCATTAATAAGTACCTTTGAAGATCCTGAGAAAATCTTAGAGCAAACAGTTCTTGAAATGAATGATGACTTGACAAAGATGCGTCAGGCCACAGCACAAGTAAGCCTCACGTTCCAAAACTTTTACTTCTTTTCCTTGTTTGTTTGTTCTATTGCAATTGTTTTGGAAAATTCTCACAATCAATTCATTTTTCTTGTCTTCTACTATATTTTATAATTGCCTCACGTTCTCTGCAGATTTTTGCACCTTTTCTTTTGCATTTGTTCTTATGTCTTCTAGTTTTCATCTTTCCTATTTCGTCGTAGACGACAAACTGAAACGACAAGGTATATCATCCATGAATGGCTACTGTGGTAGCTCTAGATATACTTGGATATCTTATAATTTTCTCTTCTGTATATGTTTAAATGGTCTCAGTTGTACTCTTTAATGTTCATCTAGCATTGATCATGCCTATTCTCTGTCTCTTTTTCTTTCTCTGTGAAGGTGTTGGCATCTCAAAAGCGGATGGAGAATAAGTACAAAGCTGCTGAACAAGCTTCTGAGGACTGGTAATGTGGATGGGATTGATATCTTATTGTCTCAAATAAAGCGTTGAGTAATTGTTAAAATCATGGTGTATGTTAACATAGGTACGGCAAAGCACAATTAGCTCTTCAAAAAGGAGAGGAGGATCTTGCACGTGAGGCTCTGAAGAGGCGTAAATCTTTTGCTGTAAGTGCAATTGGTTGTATAAGTTTATTATGCTTCTACTTTTTTCTTGGTTATTTTATATTAGTATTTCTAATTTTGAGAAATGTGTATCATTATCAAGGAAACTTATATTTGGAGTGTTTAGTAAAATTAAGCTCATGCCAAGCGTAGCCAGAATTTCTAATAGAGGGTCAACGTAACTTTAATATGTAGGATTTTACACATCAATAATAGTTATTGTGAATATTACAAATTTGATATTTATGACCTAATTGTGTTATCATTCCAAATCATATGATAATAATACTAATGGTAAGCATAACCAATCTTTTTTAATACAAGTACAACCACAATTTTATCAAGGAAAGAGATTGAAAAGATAGACAAACAATAAGAGTATCAAATGCTGATTTAAATTTACTGAAGTAATCGAAAAAATTCAAGACACATGTGAATGAATTGAAAAACTTGAGGCAAGGAATGAAGTGACATGCACCTTTAAGCCCAAGTTTCCTGAGTCTCCTGATCCTTAAGCACATATGATGTTAGATTATGTTTAATGGGGCAAATATTATTTTACAAATATGAAAAAACTTGGGTATAACATATAAGAGGAAATATTGTCAAGATGGTGAGAACAAGGTTCTAAAAGACACTAGGCGCTAGTCGGGCGGCGGGCGGTGGGCTGGGGCCTAGCGCCTAGGCGGATTTAAGTAAATCTATTGTATTTCATGTAAGGCCTAGCGCCTAGGCAGATTTAAGTAAATCTATTGTATTTCATGTAAATAAGTGTCTGTTTATACTTAAAATATATATAATTTCATCATAAACTAGAAAATAGAATGACATATATATTATGAAGTATTGGAACATAATGAAAACATGGGGAGCAAACATATAATGTGTGTATTTAAGTGTTCAATAAGTCTTACAATTTATTGGAAACAATAAAATGCAAAAGGAACGTTATCTATTTTCTATCTAAGTGAGTTGCAACCTAGGCAGGTGTTTAGGTGGGTCTGGGCGGGCTAGGCCCCTAGGCGGTCTAGGCGGGCGCCTCAGTAGGTCTAGACGCCCTTTCTTAATTTTCAAACGCCTAGGCGTTAATCGAGGCGGTGGCCAGCCGCCTAGCGCCGGGGATTTTTAGAACAGTGGATGAGAAGGGGCAAGTGACCCTTGTGGGCCTTAATTGGCTGCGCCGGTGTTACTCACGAACTAGTTTTCTTTCTCGTCGCCAGGCTGCCAAAGTTTCATTGCATTATTGTCTTTATATGTTTTCAGGATAATGCTAATACTTTGAAATCTCAACTTGATCAACAAAAAGCTGTTGTCGATAATCTTGTGTCTAATACACGGGTAAGTGAATTTATATTATTTTGCTCATAGTGAGTTCTTAAATGACTACCCAAATCACATTTATTTTTGTGTAGAAAACTCCGTCAATTATGTTCTATGAAATCTATTTTGTGTAGCTTTTAGAAAGCAAGATACAGGAGGCAAGGTCGAAAAAAGATACCCTCAAAGCACGTGCTCAGTCTGCGAAGTTAGTTTATTCTACCATTCTCACTTTCCCTTCTTACCAAACTGTTTCTTTGTTGTTTTTTATTTCAATTCAGTTCAATTTCTCGGTCAATAGTCTGGTATCTCCTTGGTGTTGCTGGTAATTGCTGCTATGCTGTTGCTTCAGGACTGCAACTAAAGTGAGTGAGATGGTGGGAAACGTCAAGACAAGTAGTGCTCTTTCAGCTTTTGATAAGATGGAAGAGAAAGGTGAGGCAGCTGTCAATTATGGAAGTACGTTATAATTTATTGAAGCTCCATTCTGCATTTCCATTTGAGGGCCCATCTCCGTTTGGAGTGAGGAAATCTTTGGATGCTCAACCAGCTCTATAATGGCTGCCAAATTAGAAAATATAACTTTAAAATTTAACCAATTGTGCATATGGATATCTCTCTGGACTCTTTGAGTTAAAAGTTTTGAGGGTATAGTCTGCTTCAAAATCTACTGAGAGAAAGTTCATCACATTGTACTTTTGTATGTGCTTAGCATTCATGTGCCCAATCCATGGTTGGCAAGCATGTGATGTGTCAAATTTAAAATAGTTGATCTTTCACATTTCATACAAAGACACAATTCCTGGTTGTTAATCAGTATTACAACTTACAAGTACCAACAGATTGTTTGGTTTTTAGAAGAATATCATTGTTTCATCTATTTCACATCCTCCCAATCTCCAGATTGATTATGTTAGATGTATGTTTCCTGGTAAATATGTAAGATTCGAGATGAAATCAGACTTTGTCATCAACAAGAGTTGTCCAGAGGTACAAAGTCTGATTGGATGTAAGAACTAGATTTTGTTCATCTCTTCCTTAAGGATTGGGATGAAGTGATGTTGGATAATGGTGTGAATGCTGCCCAATATTTTTAAACGAAAAAAGAAACCTGCCTGGTAATTGTCTGTGATTACAATCTTTCTAATCCTTGCCTAATGTTCGTTCTTTCACCACCCGTGGCACTATGCTAAATTCCTGGAACGTTTTGCTCTTCCCAAATTCCCAAGCCCTTTTGATTCATCTCATTTATCTTCTGTTACTTTAATTGCTTGTGGCCTCACTGCTTCCACCTCAAAATTGATTTTCTTGGTAGTCAGTTTTAGCACGTCTTTTTTGTTAGTATACAAAGAAACCCATGAAAATGAGAGTAAAATCATATTTAGCTATCAGCACTTTTGATTCAGTTAATTAATTAAATAAAAGGGGTATCCTTCCTGCCTTGGCTTGAGATTATCACCATGTTCCTGTTATTATGGATGATTGCTGTGTATGACTTCTGTTGCACAAAGTTGATTGACTTCTAGTCCCATTGTTGTGTGCATTACATGTTGATTGTCTATCTTTGATTACACACACAAAGACATTAATTTATATGGATTTTTATGAAGTATATTAATGCTTTTATTCCTTCTTCATCTGAATAGTCTTAGCCATGGAATCCCAAGCAGAAGCTCTTGGTCAGTTAACTACGGATGATCTGGAAGGAAAGGTAACACTATCATCTTGCTTATTTAGGCCCCATGTCATGTTAGATCTTGTGGGTCTACAACTCTATAGAATCTTCAGATTGATAAGAACAGGGGAGGAAGGGAGTATGAAATCCAGAACTTATGTTGAAAAATATGATGTGGAAACAAGTCAAAGAATGAGCTCATAAACTGTTTAAGTAGTGGCAAAATTCCTGCCAATTTAGTGAAGCACCCATCTTATTTGGTGGTTGGAACGGACGTAAATACTAAGTAAATGTATGATTTGGTGGTTGGAATTTCTTCACGGACGTGAATACATACTTAAGTAACATGGATGTCATACATACCCTACATGCTATTGTTTTGATGTTTGCCACGTTGAAGCTCAGATAGTGCTCAAAGCAATATTTCAAAACTATTTTGTAGGTGCGATTACCATACAAGTATCGAAAAAATTACACGGATTTTTGTTTGGTTGATATTCTTTAAATGGCAGCTGCAGGCTTGTCAGTTTATTAAGTACACATATTTGTCTGGGCCACTTCCTATATGGTTACGGGATGGTTTAGGTCATTACCATGGTTTAAAACCCTTGTTTTCTAAAACTCTTGTGTTGGTAGCAGCATTTTTCTGTTTCCCAAGGTCTGTTCTATTATGCTTGTGCTTGCTTTAGCTGTACATGAGAACCAACAGGGTAAGGAAGTTGTTAAAGTGCGACATTAATTTACATTGTTGCCTCTCTTTCCCATTATTTTAAACTTTTGGACTATTGCATATTTCTCCATTGTAGATGTCTAAATGGTGTTCGACTTTCAATATCCATTTTAGCCATTAAATGAAAATGAAAATTTTGATTTTTATGCAACATTCCTCTAAATTCTCCCTCTAGTTTGTTTTGATTATGACACCTAGAAACTAGAATAAATTTAAAATTTTCAAATCAAGATCAGAGTTGCCAAAGATTGAAGAAAAATAAAATCGAAAACTTTATGAACTTTAGAGAGGTCATTAAGTTATTCTTCTTTATTTGTTTGTTATTTTTTCAAAAAGAAGATGGATCAAACCACATGAAAATGAGTGGAGCACGATTCCTTAACTTCATTGATCAAAACAGAGAACTCATTAGTGGGTACAGAACAACGGCATGAAGGTGCACTGACATTAAGGGGTGGAACAATAATTATCAAATTCTAATAAGGTATGATTCTTGGATATTGTGGGTGAACTTGCTACGACTTGGGGGTCGATTATGGTTCAGGGTCTGAGTTTTGGCCATTGTTGGTTGGTGTTTTGGTCTCCATTCTTTTCTGTGCTTGCTTAGTAGAAAGATGCTCAGAAATATAGAATGGAGTGTGGGTTTTGTAGTGTTTTTTATAGAAGAAACCAAAATTTCATTTGGATTTATATTGTTCATGGCATGGTATTCTCCTTGTCTATCCTAGAGATCAACTTAGAAACCTTAGTTGTGATGTAGGACAGAGGAGGGCGGCGGAACTTAGATAGCTTAGCAGAGCAAAAACACTTAAAAACTTAATGGAAAACAATAATAAAGATATCTGGAATCTCCAGGGACCTTTCACCCGTCTTGGCCTCTCACCAAGAATTGGAATCACTCCAATAAACTCACAGGAAATTTAACTCAAGCTTATACTTATCAAAGGAAAAGCTTATGAATAGAAAAAGTTTTACATAAAAAACAATGAGAGTTTATAAATAGAAAAGCTTTGTTTTCCAGAGATTGGAATTCTTATCCTGCGATGGGATTGTGTTGGTGAGAGGCCAAGAACGTGTGCGATGCCCTTGGAGTGATTCCACTTATCTTTTATTTATAAAAAAAAGGGAAATAAAGATAAATGGTATCACTCCAGGGGCATTGCACCCATTCTTGGCCTCTCACCAAGAATTTTGGCATCTCAACAAAATAATCCCATCGCAGGATAAGAATTCTAATCTCTTGAAAACAAAGCTTTTCTATCATGAACTCTTCATTGTTTTTTATTACTGATCACAAGGATATTTATAATGCCTTGAGCCTAAAGAATGCAGGAAAGTAAACTTGTTATAAGAAAGAAATCCCTATCCAAAATAGAAATAGGAAACTAAATCTAATCCTACACCAAAATGGAAAGAATTTTAATCCTTACAAAATAGGAAATCAAAAGACTAAAACCCTAATTATTAAAATTTTAAACACCCATTGATTTAGGAAAGCCACCACTTTTGTTCTGCAATAATTTGGAGGCATGTCCCTTTGCAGCAAAATAGAGTAGTGTGGAGAATGCTGTGGGACTGCCAGTAGAGAACAGTGGTTTCTTCTTGAGTGTAAAATGCATTTTAAAATCTAAGTAGTCAATTGTATAATGCATTCGCAAAAAGAGAAATCCTGTTGGACTTTTCCCAGAACATGTCCATCATAGGAACCACTATGTATCATACTCTGTTTATGAGTGGCATCCTATGCAGCTCTTTTACAAGCTCTTTTACAACAAAAGTATGAGGAGTTCGATTGAGATGTGCTTGTGAATCAACGTCGATGGTCAAACTAAGGCGGAAGATATATGATGTTTGGCATATAAAAGTTTCTATTGTGCATCTACATTGCTCAATCTTGGGACGTGGTTGACAATGTTGTAGTTTCTGCAATAAGGGGAACATGGATACCGTCTCACTTGACTTAACTGAGATGTATGCAGGATCTTTATGTCCTGGCAGCAGTAATGTAGCAATAGCGATGGATTGGTGGAAAGTGGGATGTTTGGCAGGTCATTACTAGAAGGCCGGAAGGGATACTAATAGGAAATTACATCAGGACTCTTTCCAGCTTGTTTTGCTGGTTGTCTTCTGCTGTGATGGTCCTTTTTTCGGATCCCATTAACCCTTTCAATACATGTACATGTGCCCACACATATTAGCTAGGAAGTTTTATTCATGCAGATACCCATGAGAACACAGTTCTAATATATCATGAATGATCTCAGAAAAAGAGGATTAACTGGTTCTTTGTTTTTAAACTTTTTAAACTCCTATCAGTCGTTCGTGATATAGAAGCTGAGTACAATTAAATACCAACAGTAATTAAAGATTGATATTTCTTATTTGACAACTCAAAATTTTGGATCTTACATTTGATTTTGATTGTATATTCTTCAGCTCTTGTTTGTAAATGTAAACATAGAAGGATTGGATCCTCATGTTGTGACAAAATGCTTTGCAAACCACCTATTTTTCCACTTGTACCTTAGCTATTATATGGAAATGAGCTTCTGTCCCAGCAAAGAAACTTGCCCATTTTGAAGTGATAATATAAGATGATTATATATTGCAAACATATTATCTGCATGCTTTTAATTGTTTCTCTTCTGAAAATTGATTTCTTACCATTTCCAAACGTGCACCAAAATTGCAGTTTGCGTTGCTAGAGGGATCTTCGGTCGACGATGATCTTGCAAACTTGAAGAAAGAATTATCTGGTAGTTCAAAGGTATGTCTTATCGAGGAGGACAATTATATATTCATGAGGTCGTACATCCAAGTTTTTACTGATATATATTTCCGTGAACTGAATTATTAAACTTAAGTTTCTGCCCATTATTTGGTACATAGTAGGTGTCTAATTACCAAAAAAGCATTAAGTGGAGTTGTGTGGTCTAAATATCTGGGTTGCAATTGTTTTTCTGTCCTGTATTGTGTTGTTTCGTACCGAAGTAGAGAATAAATATCGGAAATGGTTTTGTCCAGAAACTAATGCTCTTACACCCGTTACATTCATTGTTCCCTCTGCTGAAAAAATGATAACAAATTAGAATTCGAACCATCTGTCCTTATGGCTTCTCAGTTCTCAACAACTAGGTTCATTGACCTTTTTTCCCCCTCTATCCCTACAGAAAGGAGAGCTCCCGCCTGGAAGAACAGATGCTTCCAGTAACAAGGCATATCCATTTCGAGATTCTGAAATTGAGATGGAGCTTAATGAATTGAGAAGAAAAGCCAAGGACTTCTAAATTTTTCTTTGCAGGCACATTTATGGGAATTGTTAAACACAAATATGAAGTTGGTTTTAGTTGAGAGCTGGTTAGCATTTGTATAGGCAGAAAGAACAAAAGATTAACGCTGTATAGCTAGAGACCTAACTCGAATCAAAGTGCTTCGTTGTGATAGTAGGCACCATTTTCACGCTCTTGTTGTAATTCGACTCTGCTGCAGCAAAGCCAGTTTCTGGATTATGTAGGTGGAACAACCTGTTTAATGTACATGTGATGTCTTTTTGAGATTTATGGGGGTTTTAATTTGTCGGCCTGTAATTCTAGTTGTCTTTTTGATAACACGAGGAACCAGAGGGCTTCATAGACAGGCATGTTAAGGGTTAGGTGCTTTTCAGCTCAAATTTCGAGAGCTAAACTCTAAATCCTTGGCGATATTTATCTGGGGAAGAGTCTAAAGTAATGAAATTTGTTCTGTTGGATTTGATCCATGTAATGTTAAAGCTAGAATTTAACAAGGTGTGCAAAGAAGATAAGAGGTTGAAAGTCTTTCCATTTATTTTGTCCATTTTCAAGGTGTGAAAATCTTTCGATTTAACACGCCTTGATTTAACAATGGTGTGCTAGAATGTAAACCAGCACGCTCTTTCGACTTAACACACCAATATGTTATCATCACACTTGAATTTTATATTCCTCTAAGCTAGAGTCATTGCGTGGCTTAGAGTTTTTCTATACTCAACCACTGGACTTCAACATTCTCTTGATTTCCTTTCCTTCTCGAGTTTTTCACATATCTAAATTCTAACGTGTGAAATCAAAATTTTATCATCGTTTAAATTTGCATTTTTAATAAGGAAAAATAATGAAAAAAGTTTGAAAAGTTTTAGTTTTAATAAAAAAATCATGTTATAAGTTTTGTTTAATGATTAGTACAAGACCTATATTAAAGTAGTCCAACTAAAAAATAGCCCAACTATAATAAATTATGATTTGTCGATTTTACCTCTAACTTTTTTAGGTTGAGCTCTAGATTTTCGTCATTAATGGAATTCATCGTTGTTTTGCAGACCTTCTTTTTCTTTGAAACAAAAATATAGATCCTCATGCTATTTAATTTATATTTTGTATTATTTTGTTGAAATGTGATCGTTGTTATTATTCATAGTGTATTCGAGGTATTGTTTTTCAATTCTTCTTTGTCAGTGGAGTTCATTGTTTGTTTCTCCAGAAAATAAATTTGAGATCTGCATGCTATTCAATAATAACGACGAGTCACTGTTTCTAGATTGTAAAAATAAACTGTTTCTGGATTTTAAGTAACATTGTTTTTGAAATCTAAGTTACTGTTTCTGGAGTTTTAGTATCTAAGTCACTATTTCTGGAATCTAAGTTACTGTTTCTGGAATCTAAGTCACTGTTTCTAGATTCAAATGAAATAGACACATTATTTCTTAAAATGTAAGATAGAAATGAAATAATGAAATTCATTGTATTTGCATTCAAAGCAAAATAAGCACCTTATTTCTTAAATATAATCAACTGATGCATGAAAGAAAAGAAACAGTCAAAGGTTAAAACATAAACCGTTTCTGGAATCTAAGTCATAGTTTCCGGAATCTAAATCACTGTTTTTGAAATTTAAGTCACTATTTATGGAATTTAAGTCATTGTTTTTTTATTTTGGTTCTTTTCTTTCCAAATACAATGTTTGTTTGTGCACAGACAAAACAAACACTGTATCTTATTTTTCCAGAAACAGTGTTATGTTTTGAGTTCTCTAGAAACTATTTTATGTTTTGGGTTTTTTTTTTTTCACACTTTTTCGCTATTAAATTTCTTTGAACTTGTTTTGGTGACTTTGTTCCAATGAATTCTTCCTTTTTCAACTTTAATTTGAACTTTGATTTGGTTGTTTTTGAAATGGGGGAATTCGATTTGATAGGAAGACATGGAATTATTATGGATGTTTCATCCTGGGTTGAGGTTAGTGAAGAGTCAGGACAATATCGAATCATTTAAGGGTATTTACGGAAGTGTAGATTTGTAATGAGTTGGGCTTGTAAGTTTGACCCATGGACAATAGTTTTGGATGATATTTTTGTTTAACCTTAAGCCCTTTTGGTTCAATAACATTTTAGGATGATTTTTTGGTTAAATATTTGTTGACCCAAGCCCTTTTCATTAAAACTCCCTTAATAATATGATGATCAGTTTGCAAGTTTAGTTGTTTTCTAGCAGGAATGCCGGCCCTTTGTTGCGGGTTTTCAAACTAAAATCGACAACAGACATCAATAATATCCACAGAAAAATTAATTGAAAATGTTGCAGCAATACAATCACGTCCTTCAATGTAGACCTGACAAATTCTTACACGATCCCGCTCACACGACATGAAAATAACGGGTTTCAGATCAACACAATATCTAATTGGGTAGTAATCGGTTCACACGATAAAACATGTTGATAATGGGTCCTTAACAAGTTTACACAAAAGTGACACGCGGGTTACCCGTTTCGACATGTTAAGAAAAAAGTAATTTTGATGATTTTAATTTTTCAAAACTACTAAAAAACTTACTATAAAATACAATAGCCAAAGTATAAAAAGACTAAAATAACAATGAAAAATAAATTCCTCTTAAAAAAAATCAAGAATTCTTTACAAAGCTAATAATAAATAAATACAAATTCTAACCTCACATCTAATTCAATCTCATTCCGTCTACCCATTTGACTTTCTAGTTCGTAAACCTGCATAACAATAAAAGAGTGAGCTTTCCAAAAGCTCAATAGGGACATAACTTATCACAGTAATTGACAATACTAAATTACATGTCACAAAATCATGTAATCAAGTACCAAATCATTACAACAATGGATGAGTGTAATGCAAACCACTTCCTCTCTACCCGTTAATTTATATAACAAAACACACGGACATGCACGTCCCATACTATGCATTTTACCTCTGTACTGGTTGTTCGAATGTTCTATTATACAAATTAACCCCCTGTAGCTCAACCATCCCAATTTCTCCTTTTGTTAGTCGTCTTGCCTAAACTCTTCGTCGCCATTCTCGAATTACCCTTAAAGAATCTGTGCACTGTGGACTCGCCTGAGACCTAGTACCTATTAAGAGTTTGGCTCAACTTCACAAAAGATCATTTCCAACTACCCTCATTTCCAACTCCTTTCTCTACACTAGAACTCCAACCACTTCTGGCACATGAGTGATGCACAAGTGACATCATTTCATCTTTCACATGTCACAATATATCTCACCTAGTAACATTACAGTAGTAATAATAAGTAAACAACCAATTGAAGCAATAATCCATATAACATCCAACCGCATTAATCAACCAACACATATATAGTACTTCATGAAATTTAATAAAATCAATCTCTGTAAAGATCTGCCGTATTTTCCTTACCTGAAATCACAAGCATAACTCCGAGTAATTAACACAAGAATCCATCACTCAGTCAATTCCTATTTTACAAGTATAAGCAAATCACCAAATGCATGATATAAACTCAATCTAATCAATACACTTCAGCCAATAGTCTGTAAAATAACTTTGTTTGATTGGCCTATAATCTGAGTGATGACAACCTTGACATCTCCTCTTGAAAATAAGTTATATATAATATAGGTATATCAGATAAGCGAAAGGTTTGGCAAAGTGAAAACTAATTTGGTTTAGTTCGAGTTTATGCATATATACATATGATATATTTTTTGATAAGTGATAGGATTTTTACCACCTGCCAAAGTAGAGATAAAAACAATCAAAATACTTGCAAGAGTACAAGGTTATCGTAGTATAGCAGCTCAAATAAGGTTGTTTTCCGTAAGGATTGAATCAATAATTTATGTTAAAGCCAAATCTTAATTAATTATTTGAAAACAAAGTTTGGAAAGGTTAATTTTATGACCTAAAATATTAAAAACGAATTTATTAAAAACAGTTAAATAAATTAGCAAAGTAAAGAAAACAAAAGAAAATAGTTTTGAAAATAAATTTGAGCACTAGGGTTCCGCCGTCACCATAACAATCCTATGCAGTTCTTCCAATTACTTTTGAATTATCCATGTATATTTTGAAGGTTAGGTTTTCCTAAAGTATGTCCTACTTGGAACCTCCAACATAGAACATATATCTAACATGCAACCCGTTCGTGGCGTCTAGATCGAATATGAACATGTAAGACTCATCACGTTTTGTGAAAACCTTTTGAAAAACCATACAACCCTTAAGACGTGTTGTCCATCCTAAGAAGTTACACATATTAATTACAAGAAGCCTTCGTAAATTTCAGGGACAACCCTCCGCCAAATTGCATTAGATTACTTTTCTAAATATCCTAATGGTTGCTAATCACCAAGATAATTAGATAGTTTAAATCGGTCACTAATAATTCAAAATCTGCATGCTTAATATCATAAGAAAATAATAATGGAAGGATTTCCTCACCATTTTAGTAAATAATAAGTGTGAAAGAGAGATATCTTAAATTCGATTATCGCCAAAGGCAAATTTGGACATCATTATTGCTAGCCCATTATGAGGCTAAGTTCACCCTCTCTTCTTTAGTGTAAAAAATATTGTTTGTTCATAAATAAAAACTACTTGATATCGAACAGGAAAAGAAATAGCACTGTGGTTGAACTTAAGCTCCGTTTGGGAAAGTGGGCTCTTAGAAATCCGAGTCTGCAATCGAAAATGTTCTGGTAATGTTTGAATAAAATATGACTAAAGATATTATTTGAATAAAATATAACAAAAAACTAATAAGAATATTACGTACCATAAATTTAATCACCACCTAAAACTATAAGAATAATTGAATACAATATAACTATGATATAGTTGTAATGCACTTTCAATAATGAAAAAGAAAGTTACTTTCACAATCATTTTTTTTTTGTTTTTTTTGTTTTTGTCTCTTGTGTGTATTGAACTAAAATACCTTAATAAATTCTATATCATCTACCTATCAGTTGATAATAAATCCTACAAAATGTAATTACTGGATTACAGCGTCACTCCCAAGCATCACCTGCAGTGAGCCTACCAGCTGAAGCTCCTAATGAATTAGAAAAACTCCTCACTTTTGGATTCATTGCAACCACATCATTGAAAAGCAAATAAACTTGTGCAGGTTCAATAAAATCTTGAGTTTATGTATACAGAGACAAAGAGTGTGAATATTGGTGCTTACATGAACATAGTCATCCGAATAACAGTGTTGCAGAATAAAACACCAAAAGTTAGAAGTAGGCAAGA